CTGTAGATTTCATTATGAGGCAGTGTGAGCCAACGTCTGTATAATCCAAGACAAGATTTATGTTTGTATTTTAATGTTATTGCAGTAATTTTGTTATTGATTGTAAGTGTAATTAAATATGTCTTATTAATTGCACTCAAGAATGAAATAGGCCACACAGAACTTTTTTTTTTGTTTAAAGGTGCATTGCTTAACATTTCTAGTGGAGGGTCTGCCACTGTAAATGCTGGTCTCCATGGAGATATTATCGCCTTATCTAGAATGTTCCACACTATAGATTAAACCGATCTATCACAATGGAGACAAGCAGGTTAGAGTATTACGCTACATTACAGTTTGGATCTGTGGAGAGTCGCCCCCTACACTACAAATTTTCCTGATCTGGACAAGATTTTAAAACTTCTATCAGGTTATTCATCTTGTTTTCAGATTTATGATCTACTTACTAGTTGTGAGACACTTCATTCTCATCTAGAGGTTGTTTATTTTAAGAGAACTTGTTGAGTAAAATGATCTTGCTGCATGGACACATCATTTAACTACTTTTAAATCGTTTTCTGATAGATTTAAGTGTTTATATCTTATATTTCAGAAGGAATGATGGTATTTTTGAGCCACAGAAACTAGAGGTGGGGCCAAGTCATTGTCTCAATTAAGTCTCAAGTCTTTGACCCCAAGACCGATTCAAATACAGACAAGTCCAAATCGACACTTGAATCACTGGCCCATGAGTCTGAGTCAAGTCCAAGTCGTCTGCTTTGAGCTTCAAGTCATTTCAAGTCTTTAAACAAAAGCACTGAATACAGCTTAGATTTTTGCAATTTATATTAATTTTAAATTAAATTGTTCTTTAAAAAATCATGGTATATTTCTATATGAGTATTTATGTAGAAATGCAAATTTTTCCTTTTTAAACGTCTTGACAAGATCTGAGTGTGAATCATTATGGTCAGAACAGAAAGAAATCTGATTTAAAAATCCAGTTATTTTGTCATGTGTCTGCACTGAAGGATCATGTATACAGTATTGTTTGTTTACTGTATTGTACTGTATATTACTGTATTGTACTGTATATTACTGTGTTGTACTGTATGTTACTGTAGTACATTTGATGATCTCCCAGTACTTCAGTTAGACCCAAAGTACCTAACAGAAGTGGGAGGGACATGTTCCAGTTTGTTCCTGTAAAATTCAGCACCACATGTTTCGAATGAAAAGTATTTTCTAAAATATTTTTTTGGAAAAGCATCAAGTCTTCTCAAGTCACAGGTCTCAAGTCTGAGTCAAGTCCCAAGTCAATGACCTTCAAGTCAAAGTCATAAAAATAGTGACTCAAGTCTGACTCGAGTCCAAATCACGACTTGCACGTCCCCACGTCTGGTAAAAACACACATAATGAAAAAATACTTGATGGAAATGTTTAAAGTCATACCATGGAACATTCCAGGCAAAGCAATAACATCTCCATGGAGACAAGCAGGTGTAAGTGTTGTTGAGAAGACTTTCTGTATGAACAATTATACTTTTAGCACAGTAGATTATTTGACTACATTTTAGCAGGATTGTGCACAGTCATTGTCCCTCTCACTCTCTTCCTGGTGCATCTTTGACCACTACAGCTTTTTAAATTAAATATTTATTCACTTCGCACAAAAATCTATTGTTTCTCCCAAGAGTTATTCAAAAGTGCAAAAATATGTATTGTGTTTTTAGTACCTACTCGCAAACTCATTCCCTCCATTTGCATAATATTACAGTTTCTTCCCTGTAACAGTTCAGAAAATCAATACTTGGCAAGAACATTCAGGTTTTCAATCACTTCTCTGCTTCTGGCGTGCTCTCCCATCACTATCGAGTGTTTTTTACCACGTCTGGCTCAAAAATACAAAAGGCTCTGAGACTATCCATCTTCTCCCCGATCACACTCTGGAGAGTTTCACTTTAGTGTTTTAAAGCTGCTATGCAAAGTTTAAAGCCAATGAAATCATCGTTATCGCATCAGATCAATTTTGGTTTGTAGCCTTGTTTGTCGTCATTAATGTTGAAGTTTAATGTGACCGCAATAAATTCAAACTGCTGCTCGGCAAATCTGAAAATCGCTTAGTCACAGAAGAAAGTGGACTCTCACAGCAACCAGTGGCAGAGTTAACAATTTGGGGGCCTTAGGCGAACTTGAGTTTGGGTCCCTCACTATAATGCACTTTTGTTGTTTGTTTTTTATTTTTTGTATTTTTTTAAATATTTATTGTCTGTTTTGCCTGATTGTTCTTCAGACATGCACGTTTCTATTTGAATTAGGGTGGACCGGAAACTTGTCTTATTAGTTTGGTCACTTACTAGATAACCAGAGCTGAAAGAAGTTTTATTTTTTTGCTAGTACAATTACTTTTTTGTTGACATTAGTGATGGGCGAATGAGACGGAGCTCTGGAGCACGTCTTGTTCTTTCTGAAACAAATTGCTCTGAAGCTCTGCCTCGGAGCTCGTCTCGCAGCAGCCGCTCACGTGACCAAAGTGTGGAAGTGTCGCTCCCTCCCCCTTCTGCTTCACTCTGCGTGTCAGTCGCTTCAGTGTATCGAAGCGTTTCATTAGCTCAGCGAAGGTTCTGCTCTGTGATTGGTTCAGAGTGCTTCAGAGTGGTCAGCACAGTTCCGTGGTTTGACAAGCGCTAAACTGCTACAGTATAAAAGATGCACCAATATTTCTTAAAAATGTTGGGTAGTGAGGAGTATTGTGTGATGTTAGTAGGGCTGGGTATCATTAAGAAGTTGCCGATACGATACACACCTCGATACATAGGCCACGATACAATACATATCTTGAGACAGTGAGCTTTTGATTCGATAGGATATATTTCAAATCGATTCGATGTGGTACAATAAAAAATAAAGGCTAAATCATGGCTGTGACACTAATAGTCTTTGTTAAACCATTTCTTGTGCAAAGTTCATATGAAACACAAACATTTTAATCACCAAAACAATGAAAATGTCAAATATGTTGCATATACGAGTTTCCTTTCTCTAAACAAGCAACAAAACTGTGGCACTGTAACAAAATCCTTTAGTAAAATAAACCAAAAAATACTCTTGGCGATATATCGATACAGCAGCCCATGATATCGATACTGTATCATCATATTAAACGATACGATATATCAATATTTCAGTATTAGACATTAGTGGTGATTTTGGCGACTTTTGGCATTTGTTTCATTTTCGATGGCATCGGCAAGTGGACAAAAGTGATCCGTGGTTTGGGATCATTTTGATCTAATTCCACCTAAGAAGGTAACACCTATTTTCTTATTTACAGCATGTTATTTATGTTGCTTTTTACATATTATTTTAAATCATCATTATTATTGTTGTTGTTATGTATGGTGTCGCTCTGCACACAAGTATTTTCTTATTGTTAAATTTGTCCACTAGAGGTCAGTGTTTCTCCGAGGCCTCAGACACGTCCAACCATTTGAGACAATATTGTGACTGCGGTGTCAATGCTTCACGAGGCTCCAGTCGCCCATTACTAGTTTACATCCATTACAGATGATTTTGCTATGATTATGTTCAAATCAGGGTCAAGCAGACGAGTCCATTCTAATGTGAAAAGGGTGAATGCTTTGACAGTTAAAATAGATTTGACAATCAGAGACTATTTTGATGGAGTTTTTTTGGTTTAAAAGTAAAACTACTCTCATTTAAGGTCATACTGAGAGAAAATCTAATTGCTCTGAGGCCTCGACCATTAGTGGCACTGAGGGCAGTTGTTTGGGGGCCCCTCAATGTTCGTGGGCCCTAAGCAGTCGCCTACTTTTGCCTAATAGTAGCGCCGCCTCTGACAGCAACATGTTGAGAGACTATAGCCACCCACAGATCAACCTTAAGAGGACGTTTTATGAGACTAAAATGTGATCAAATATAGGATAAAGTCTTTTTTTTCTTTTGCATAAATACCAGCATAAACATGAAGCATTTTCTATGTGTTTAAATCAATTGTGAAAGATCCAAAGCAGTTCTCAAGGGGTCACCAACATCTATTTTATGTTATCATTGTTAATAAAGACTCACTATGTAACTTTTCTGCAGGTGAAAAGCGACGTCACCCGCTTGTCTCCATGGACTCTGTCTGGAATGATTCATATTGTGGCATTAAAGTTTTCTGTCTCCATGGAAACAAGGTGGTGACGCCCTGCTGGCCGTTAGACTTCAGAATCCTGTAACTGAATACCTGCAGGACCGATGAGCTGAATGCCGTACTATGGAACATTACAGGCAGAGCAATATTATTTCCGTGAAGACAAGAATGTTACTTAATGCACCTTTGACTAAAACCTCGATTTATCTTTACAATTAAACCTTCAACCTGCTCTTCTTGCTCTGATAGATGATCTTAAACTGTGATTATAGTGAAAAATATAGTACGTTTCTCAGTTGTTTTGGCTTAAAACTATTTACCCGAACAACAAGTGCATTTGTTTCAGCGCTGTAATCCGGTTACTGTGTTACTGAGGCCAAACAGTAGAGTGTGAAACTGTAACTTTGTAAAGAAAGGCGAAACAGGATGAGAAGTGTCTTGTCAAAACTTAAATGCACCATATATTTCTCCGTAGACATTTCTAATTTTAAACTTTCTTGCATCATCATATTTCCTCTTTACCCCAAGGCAAGTCTGGCACCTCTTCTATTTTTTTCCACTTTGATTTATGTCACAACCTTTTTATGGCTTACAGCTTCTGCCTGAGCTCTTCGCAGCAGCAGCAGCAGCAACAGCAGGAGGAGAGAGAGAAGGAGAGAAAGACGAAGAGAGAGAGAGACTGCAGACACACCCATCCCCACTGCAGGTCAGCATCCTCACTCTGCATCAGCAACAGCACGCACCCGCTTTGCACAAACCGCTACTGAACCCTGGCGCCTGAAACGAGAACTGCGACAGCCCCGGCTCCAAAACGCACGCACACAAATCAAGAAATACACAAACACAGACAGAAATATTGCCCACCGGGTCCTGAAGACGCAGCGTGCCAGTTCGGGAACGCTATATGGAAGCAGTCACACATGATGGAACCTCGGATGCGGTCCTAGCATCGGCCAGAGAGGCGGGAAAAGGATGGAGGAGAGGGTGGAGGAGGTAGACAGAGAGACGTAGTGTTGAATGTCCTTGGTCCCCCGGTTCAGTTTACGAAGAAAGACAAATTGACGAGACCACACCGATGCAGGACGTCCACCAAGTGAAGAAAAGTCCCAGTAAACATGGACCTACAGCAGCGCACGCTAACTTAATAATGGGAGGAGCTGCACCCATCTCCCTCCACCCTCTCCACCCTTCGCTCTCCGTCCCGCATCGAGATAAGGACACTGCCCACTCCTCCTCCTCCTCCTCCCTCTCTCCTCTCCTCCGTCGAAGAGCATTGATCTGGCCTAATCGGACACAAGGACAATCACGCTGTCAGAGGAGAGGGGAGGCGAGGGGAGGGTGGAGTAAACACGAGTACAGACAGGGACAGGGACAGGGGCAGGGACAGGGGCAGGACAGGGACAGGGGCAGGACAGGGACAGGGGCAGGACAGGGACGGGGGGGTTCATAATTTCATTTGGAGCTGTGTACACACGGTTAAAACGGCTCATTGTGAAGCGCAGAGTGGAGATGATGGGGAGATTAGCTCGGAAAGTTAAAGGGGAAATCACTAAAGCATGCGACACGTGAGGGAACATACCGACACAGAGGCAGTGACAAGGAACAGGTGAAAAAGTTTGGATTTTACACTTTCAAATTCCCAACAAAGTCTAATAAAAGCCCCATGTTACGCTGTTTTCTGATCTATGTTCTAATGTTTTACTCATTACAAACAGACTTGGAGTTGTGTTGTTTCTTTCACCCGTGTCTAACCCTGCACTTTTACACTCTTCTGTCCTCTGTTCCCCCTTGTGATGTCATGTGGTAATACAGGAAGTGCTCCAAAGTGTTTTTTATACTCCACACACCTTCATTAGAATCATTTTTTGTCCTGGAATTTCCCATCTCTACTGAGCTGAAGGTAAAAGGAGCTGCTCACTTGAAAACAGAGGTGGGGACTTGCAAGACCTGAGTCACTATTTTTAGGACTTGAGACTTGACTTGATAAAAAAGACTTGAGACTCGACTTGGACTTGAAGGTCATTGACTTGGGACTTGATTCGGACTTGAGAAGACCTTTAAAATCTGAATTCTTTCTCTTCTGAACTTAATAATTCACACTAAGATCTTGTCAAGACATTTAAATTTTTACTTTTATTTTATATTTTATTTTTACATACTCCATAAATACTCATACATAAACATACTATGATTTTTTTAAGTACAATTTAGTTTAAAGTTCTATAAACTGCACTGGTTTAAAGACTTGAAATGACTTGAAGCTCAAAGGAGACGACTTGGACTTGACTTGGACTTATGGACCAGTGACTCGAGACTCGACTTGAACTTGTCTGTATTTGACTTGGGACTTGACTCGGACTTGGGGTCAAAGACTTGAGACTTGCAAAACAATAACTGGGTCCAACCTCTGCTTGAAAACTACCACTTCATGACATCACTTGGTGGAACATAGCATTTTGAGATTCGGAGATGCAGACAGACTAATAATAATCTATTATCTGTGACTGAAACAAAACACAACTCCAGCTCTGTTGCTGAGGAGGTAATAACATTCAAACATATCTTAAAGCTCACAAGAAGCTTTAAATAATTATTTACATAACACTTGTGTTGTGGAAAAAATGATGCATCTCTTGATAATTAACTAATCCATTTGCAAACCCTGATGAGTTTTTGGAACACAGAAAAAGGTTTATTCTTGTTACAGCAGATATGGACAGAGTCTAGTCCTGCCCTGAACACAGACCAACCACCTCTCGTCAGTCTCCTCTCTCCACTCACCCCTCCTCTCCATCTCCCGAGAATCTCCCCCAGAGCACCTCCCCCAGAGCACCTCCCCAGAGCACCTCGAGCACCTCCCCCAGAGCACCTCCCCAGAGCACCTCCCGAGCACCTCCCCCAGAGCACCTCCCCAGAGCACCTCCCCGAGCACCTCCCCCAGAGCACCTCCAGAGCACCTCCTCCAGAGCAGAGCACCTCCCCAGAGCACCTCCTCCCCCACCTCCCCCAGAGCACCTCCCCCAGAGCACCTCCCCCAGAGCACCTCCCCCAGAGCACCTCCCCCAGAGCACCTCCTCCAGAGCACCTCCCCAGAGCACCTCCCCCAGAGCACCTCCTCCAGAGCACCTCCCCAGAGCACCTCCCCAGAGCACCTCCCCAGAGCACCTGAGCCCCCTCCCCCCAGAGCACCTCCTCCAGAGCATCTGAGCTCTGAGTTATGTACATGTCAAAGCAAAGTGACTTTTAATGCTAATCCACTAACATTACATTATGTAACATTAACTTACATTTGAGGACAACACAGTTTCCTCTGGGGACAGTTGTATGTGCTGAACCTTTACACATGTTCATGACTCCTTTATATGGAGTACAAAAGCTTTCAGAAATATTTGTGTGCATAGGTTAGAAATCCCTGCATATTTGTCTGGAGTTGAGCATAAAATAAATATTCATAAACTCTTGAATGAGTTCAATCATACATAAAATGTGTTGTGTGTATTTTATTCATCAGAATATGAATTGAAAAGTTACGACATCAAGAATTACAATCACCAAATGAAAATGTACTATTATGCTTTCTTCAGTACGAATACGAATTCACAGACGCGACTCGACTGTTAAAAATACATCATCACTTCACATTACTTTTAATGAACTACATTTACTGAACGGAAGAAACATCGAACGAGATGCTGGACTTTTGCACCACATACAGACTGAACCAAGACTAAACCAGGACTGAACCAAGTCTGAACCAGGACTGAACCAAGACTAAACCAGGAATGAACCAAGTCTGAACCAGGACTGAACCAGGACTGAACCAAGTCTGAACCAGGACTGAACTAAGACTAAACCAGGACTGAACCAAGTCTGAACCAGGACTGAACCAAGACTAAACCAGGACTGAACCAAGTCTGAACCAGGACTGAACCAGGACTAAACCAGGACTGAACCATACATTTTATGCACAACTGGACTAATTTTTATGAATATTTATTTTATGCTTTAACTACAGACAAACATCCACAGATTTCCTATGCACATGAATATTTCTGAAAGTTTTCTTACTCTAGTCTAGGTCTAAGGTACAAATCACATTCATTTACACAAAAAAAGATTGAGAGAAATCTTTTCACAATTTAAATTTTCATCACACTTGTATCATGTTTTTCAAAACTCAAAGAAAGAGACAGTAAGTAAAAAAAAAAAAAGAAGATGCAGTTAATCGATTTTAAAATATCTGCAAAATTATATACATTTTGTAATCTAAAAATTCAAGTTTACCATTTCAACTATAGCTCAGTCTTAGCCTGGTTAAGAAGAAGAAGTCACTTCCGTTGTGGATCAATAACATTAAGTCTAATCGGTGACTCACTTTTGTACAGTGAAGTTTCCATCCTCACTGGTTTAGTCGGTGGATTTGTGCTGACAGGCCAAATTAGAGCTGGATCCCAGACAGAAGGAGGCGTCTGCTTTGTTGTGATGTGATGACCTCATGACGCAAAAACAAACAGAACGAGAGAGGCCTTGAAATGAAAAAATACGAAAGAAACTAGACCAAGAAAATACTAATATAATTATGCTGATGAGACTACATTTTATACTTATAACATTTAAGTAATGAATCTAAACTAATCTAATCCAGCTCATGGAAGTTTTTCCTCACTAAAATGACCCAGAGACTAACCTCTGTCTGTATGTTCACTACGGAGAAATCCCACTGACACTAAACACTGACACTAAACACTGACATTAAACACTGACAGTGAACACTGACATTAAACACTGACAGTAAACACTGACAGTGAACACTGACATTAAACACTGACATTAAACACTGACAGTGAACACTGACATTAAACACTGACATTAAACACTGACATTAAACACTGACATTAAACACTGACGGTAAACAGCATCAAGAGTGTCAACAGTAACATGTCTGATACAAATGATGTTACTTATGATGCATGTTTGTATGGACACTGTTCACACTTACATCACAAACCCAGAAGGCGATAGGAGCTCTTACAAAATCGATTAATTTGTGTATTATGATTTGTCTAATAAAAAATGAAAGATGTCTTTGTAGTTACATTGGGCAGATCCACAGTTCCAACCTGCTGTCTGTGACTGACACTGAATCTGCGTTTAGAGTCTCGTCTCCCATGAAAAGCTTTGTCAGGTTGTGAAGAAGCTGCTGCTGAATCTACAGTTTTATCACATGTGCAGTGTCGGGAACTTCAGCACACTTCGTGTAATTCAGAAGTCCCTTGGTGAGATACTTGAAAGGGGGTACAGAGCTACTGGTAGTTCCCACGCTACAGGCTGGAGACTCCTGACTTAAAGCCACAATATGTGATTTTTTAGCAAAAAAATAGATTTACTTATGTATGTTTACTGTGTTTTAAAAACATGCATCTTTACTGTGAGAGGGTTTTGCATCTCCATGATCCTGACTTATTTTGGTCTTGACGAGAGCCTCTTCCACAATCTGACATCAAACACATCTGTGTCCATGGAAAATGTTGAAGTTTGATTTTAACTTTGCAGGTGATGTATCACCTCCAGACAGTCACTTACTGAACCTTTTACCAGACTAGTACTGAATTATAAATGAAATGTGAAACTTGAATTTTAGATTTGAAAAAATCTATATTTTGATATTTTAAAATAAATTAAATCCATCTTCTTGGTCCAATGAGGTTCATTTGGTTTTCTGATCATTTTTGTTATTAGGGTTTTGTTTTAACAGAGTTTGTTTTCATCCTGACAGTTTGGACTGTTCACTCAAGGTTTTCCTGAGGGTCACGTCATGTTGCTGTGCAGGGGTGGACTGGCAATCTGTACATTCTGTAAAATCCAGAAGCTCCTTTTACCTTTAGTTCAGTAGAGATTAGCCATTCCAGGACCAAATTGTTC